CAGGAAAAAGGCAGTTTCCTACCTGAACCCAGGCCTTGCCTGTCGCTATTCCCATCCTGCACCACCTGAATTTAGGAGCCCATGCTATGGAGGATGCTGATTGGCTGCATCTTTTGTGACATTTTGTGTACTCATGACTATGCAAGCTGCCCAATCAGGCACAGTGACACCCACGCCATGTAATCACATGGGGTCTGAATGTCACAGTAGTCTTAGAGTTCTGCAAGGAAGCGAAGTGGTAGGAGTCACCTGTGCTGCCTGGAGGCTCACAAGGCAAGTTCGGATCTGCTGCTCTCCATCTTTGCTCCCCAGGGGAAACTGGACTCCTAGGAAGCCAAAAACCATAATGTGATGTGTGGGTTAGGGTGTCTGGAGAGGGGAAAGACATAGCCTATGGAAAGTGATAAAGAGTCAGGTGGATACGGGCCTCCCAGAGGTCATCTCTGGAATCTCTGGGCACCCTATTGGTGCTGTCACAGTGCTTCCTTCAGTCCCCTCAGACCCTTGGGTTAGGGAGAGGACTGGCACCTGGGACCCCGATGCCCTGGCCCTTCTCTGCTCAGCTATGTGGCATCTGTCCTGCACCTCAGTGTAGTGAGTCAAGCTGCCTGCTATGACACCAGCACCCCATATGGGCACCATTTAGGTTCAACACCTCCGTTTCAGATCCAGCTCTGTGCTATTGTTTCCAGGAATGCAGTGGAATATGACCCAAGTGCTTAGCCCCTGCATGTATGTGGGAGAACCAAATGGAGATCCTGGCTCTTGGCTTCAGCCTGACCCAGCTCCAACAATTGTGGACATTTGAGGATTGAACCAGTGGATGGCAAATCTCTCTCTGTCTCTATATCTCTTTCTTCCTACTTTTTTTTTTTTTTTGACAGGCAGAGTGGACAGTGAGAGAGAGAGACAGAGAGAAAGGTCTTCCTTTGCCGTTGGTTCACCCTCCAATGGCTGCCACAGCCGGCGCGCTGCGGCCGGTGCACCGCGCTGATCCGATGGCAGGAGCCAGGAGCCAGGTGCTTTTCCTGGTCTCCCATGGGGTGCAGGGCCCAAGCACCTGGGCCATCCTCCACTGCACTCCCTGGCCACAGCAGAGAGCTGGCCTGGAAGAGGGGCAACCGGGACAGAATCCGGCGCCCCGACCGGGACTAGAACCTGGTGTGCCGGCGCCGCTAGGCGGAGGATTAGCCTAGTGAGCCGCGGCGCCGGCCCTCTTTCTTCCTACTTTTGACAGTGGCTTCCAAATTAAAAAATCATTAAAATGTTGAAAAATTAACAAAAATCCTTCCACACCAAGAAGGTCAAATAAGGCTCTACCTGTAAAGGGACGCCCCCTGCCAAACCCCTTGCCCTTGTGGCCTCAATAAATTTCTGATTTGTTGAAAAAAGTATAGAATGAATGCTATGTCTGCATAACATTTATTTTCACATGGGCAGAATAACTTTCAAAGCCAAAGTATAAAGTGGGTGTTCATGCTATGGAATAAATATTTTAAATAATGCACAATATTTAGATTATTTTAGTAAAATTGAGTAACACAAATAACAGAGTGGCAAACTGAAATAGGAGTATTTGGTGTTAAAAGATATTTCTTAACACTTAATGAAATATAGGGACCTGCGTTGTGGTGCAGCATTTAAAGCCCTGGCCTGCAGCATCAGCTTATTGGAGTGCCAGCTGCTCCATTTAAATCCACTCCCTGCTAATGCACCTGGGAAAGTGTAGGAGAATGGTCCAAGTCCTTGCATCATTGAAGCCACATGAGGGACATGGAAGAACCTCCTGGCTCCTGGCTTTGGAATCATCCTAGTATCTAGAAATATCATTTAGCCTTGGCAGCTCATGACAAGAGCCTCAGGTGATTACTGACGCCATAAACAAGAGTGTCAATTGTTAAGTCAACAACAGAAGTCACTGTGCACTTACTCCCCATGTAGGATCTCTGTCCTTAATATGTTGTACTATGTGAATTAATGCTATAACTAGTACTCAAACAGTATTTTACAGTTTGTGTTTCTGTGTGGGTGCAAACTGTTGAAATCTTTACTTAGTATATACTAAGTTGACTTTCTGTAAATAAAAATATTTAAAAATGAATCTTAATGAAGAATGGGATAGGACAAGGAGTGGGAGATGGGATGGCTTGCAGGTGGGAGGGAGGTTATGGGGGGGAAAACCACTATAACCCAAAAATTGTACTTTCAAAATTAGTATTTATTAAATAAAGTTTAAAAAGGAAAATTTCTAAAGCCAAAGGTTAAGATGCATTCCATAAATTAAACTAAAAAGCCAATAGGGAATTTGTTGAAAATTAGTTAATTGCAATTAAATTAGAAGTGAAAGCAAAAATAAAAATCAATGAATGTAAAACAAGTAATGATTATTCTTCCTACTGTAATAATTTTAAGAGAAAGTGTATCTAGGGCTACACTTTGGAAAATTTCCATGAATGATAACTTTGGAATCATAAAAATCAACAAAGTTTAAAATATGTGACTTTGAAAGCATGAAAGATTAAACTTACCCTAGATGGATCAGAGAAAATATGTGAAAGACTAAACTTACCCTAGATAGGCCAGAGGTAGTGTGTACATGAATTTTGCAATGACAACTTTCAGAATTTTGAGTCACATGATCACATCACAATGAAAAAAATCAAGCAAGGTGGCCAGAGGTTCATAGTAGTAGGACTCATTAAACTAGAATATTTGAGAGAAAGAGAAAGAAAAATGGCCATAAATTCAAACACAATGCAAAAACAAAGAGAAATGCTCATTAAATAAAATATTGTCATAAAGCAGAAAGTAAAATTGAATAACTTGAATAACTTGATTGTAGTAATCATAGAATAATTAGCAGATATAAAGTTATTTGATTAAAAATGTTCCATTATCCATTACAACAAAGTTTAACATTTTTTAGAGCTAGTGCTGTGATGTAGTAGGCTAAACCTCTTCCTGTGGTACTGGCATCCCATACGTGTGCTGGTTCATGTCCTGTCTGCTCCTACACTAATCTATCCTTCTGCTATGGCCTGGGAAAACAATAGAGAGAACGGTTCAAGTACTTGGGCCCCTGAACCCACTTGGGAGACCAAGAAGCTCTTTGCTCATGGTTTTGGATCAGCCCTGCTCCAGCCATTGTGGTCATTTGGGGAAGGAATGAGCAGATATAAGACATTTCTCTGTCTCTCATTCTCTCTGTATGTAACTAAATCTACCTCTTAAATACATAAAAATGCTTAAAATATGTTTTAAATGGTGAGTCTTAAATCATGAAGAGATTTTTTCCATTGTAAATGGTATATTATAAGAAATATAGCAATGTCTAGAATGCATCATTAAAAATTTCACACACTAATGATAAAAATCTGAAAAGGTAAAAATATATTAACTGGAATGGAAGGATGAATAAAACTGGTCTAAGACTCTGAATTATATACATGAAATTTTCCAGGAGAACTTGCAGAACTTTGAACAAGCTGATGAACTCATAGTGAAAATGCAAACCAATTTGGCACAGGGTCATAGTAGCACCACTGGCTTACTAAGATGTTACTGATCCACAGCTTATAGCTATAGATTAAAAAATAAAAGAAGAATGAAAAGCAGTGAATATTTTATTAAATCATGTGTTGTGATTACAACAAAAATAAAAATGGATACATCAAAAGGCCTGGAAAGATGCCCAAGACATTTATATTGTGAGCAAGATTACAACTTTCACAGGCAGTACCCATCCTCATGGAAAAAAACAAATTGTTCAGAGTATAAAATAATTAAGACCTTTTAAAAAAAGTCAACCATAACTCATAAAAGTGAGAAATTGTATTAAGGTTCAAAAGATAGAAGTTGATTTCAAATTCTTTTTCCCATTTTCCTTGTCTCTTATCTCAACCTCATCAAGCATACCTCTTGCTTCAATCCTGAGGAGAAGTGGGAGTAGGTGGAATAGATGAGGAATGGGATCCTTATTGGCCCTCTCTTCTCCCATGGCCACAGTGCTAGTGCTGCTGGCATCCCTTCCTCTGGAACTGGTCTCTTCTCAGGCAGCAGCTTCTCTGTCTTGGTCTCCATTAAATGAATGTAGGTCAAAATGGTTAATAAGCCACAGAGAACCACATTGATACCTAAGAGACTTCAAAATGTTTGTGGAAACTGGATTCAGGATACATTTATTTTGGCTCAAACTTTTTTGAAATTCATGAGTTTTTTTATAATGTACATTTTCCATGAACTGTTTTGAAAACTGTAATAAAATGTGGTCTGAAGTGTAGACTAAGGAGGAATCAGGCTGGCTGCATATCTCACCCCATGAATTATTTTCTTTGACTTGAGCAAATTAGCTTCACAGTGCCTGAAATTCCTCCTCTATAAGATGGGACAATGGCTTGTTGCAGTTTGTTCTGACAGCCTATTCTCACTGTTGCAATGATAAAATCAACTGCAGTAAGTTAAGTTTCAGTCAAAGTTTGATGCTGGAATTAGTACTAGAAAAAGTCTTTGCAAGATTCTGTTTCCTCTTTACTCTCCACACATCTACCTACCTGTCAGGGGCCAACATGTAAACAGGTCACAATTTTGTGGAAGCCTCCTGTACCAGGAAGCTGTTTTTTTTTTTTAATCTCCAATCTCTTCCATTCTGTCTATCCCTGTTGGCACATACCAGTTTTGTATATCATCACCAGATTTTATGCACTCTGTATGAAGGAGAAAAAGTGAAACTCTTGGCACCTCCCTATTGCCACATGCTTTCAAAAGTTAAGAGGACTTCCAGAAAGATATTGTAGAAACACAAATTTGCATGAAGATCAGTGAAAAGAGTAATCACTTAAAAAGCAAACTTTCCAGGAGTTGGGCAGATAATTAGCACCACCATAAGTACCACCATTATTTGGGAAATGAGGGGATATTTTTATTATCTTGCAAGGATAAACAGTAATCATGGGGAATTTATTATTATTATCATTATTACTATCACCACCCCTATTTTACAGAGAAGAGAAAGAGGTTGCCCAAGTTCATGCAGCTTCAGAGGCAGGAACCCAGATCTCTCCTATAATGTCAACATTTATGCTTCTAAACACTAGACCACCTTGAAGGCCTCTCAAGATGACTGCACCAGAAGACTGAGGGACAGGGCAGGAAGAAGAGACATGCACAAGGTACATTGGTAAGTCGAGGTTGTCTTAGGTGGGACTCAACCAAAGGGAATCAAGTGAGCTAGCACTGTACAGCTGTGTCTGGATATTACCCTCAGAGTCAGGAGACATTCCCAAAGGATTCAAGCCTGAGAGAAACAATTTGATTCACTTCATGCTGTTTTGGTTGTGGGTGAACAAGTTGCCAAAGATAGGCAGGAAAGGAAGCTAAAAGTCTATGTATGAGGTTGCCAGCTCTGTGGCACACCAGGTTAAAGCCCTGGCCTGTAACACCGGCATCCCATATAGGTGCCAATTCTAGTCCTGGCTGCTCTTCTTCTAATCCAGCTCTCTGCTATATTCTGGGAAAGCAGTAGAAGATGGCCCAAGTTCTTGAGCCCCTGCACTCATGTGGGAGACCCAGAAGAGGCTCCTCGCTCCTGGCTTTGTATTTGTGCAGCTCTGGCCATTGTGGTCATTTGGAGAGTGAACCAGCAGATGGGTGACCTCTCTCTCTGTCTCTACCTCTCTCTGTAACTCTGTCTTTCAAATAAATAAAATAAATCTTTAAAAAAGAGACCAAAAATGGAAATGTAGGTAAGACATGAAGATTACTAGGCTCAGGTGGTGGTGAGAATAGTTGAAAGATACCAGTGGCTTTTGGTTCTATTCCTACTAACCAAGTCACTTACTTCCCTGAGTCTGTCTCCTTATGAGTACAGTGGGTTCATGGTACTTACTTCACTGTATTGATGGGAGGAGCAAATGACAGGAAGCTTGAATTGAGAGTTACTACTACTGATTTCAATGTTGGGTTCTCAGGATGTTTTTTTAAACCACAAAGGCTGTGTCCTCTCTGGATTTAGGAATCCAGGACTCCTATGGTAATCTCAGTCTAGAAAGCTGAAGATCCAGTGTTAAAAAGCAGTGGCCCCTAGCAAGCATTTGCCAATCATCTTTAAAATTCAAGGTTCAAATTCAAGTGCTTCATGACTATTTTTTTGACAGGCAGAGTGGACAATGAGAGAGACAGAGAGAAAGGTCTTCCTTTGCCATTGGTTCACCCTCCAATGACAGCCGTGGCCGGCGCACCACGCTGATCCAATGGCAGGAGCCAGGTGCTTCTCCTGGTCTCCCATGGGGTGCAAGGCCCAAGCACTTGGGCCATCCTCCACTGTACTCCCTGGCCACAGCAGAGAGATGGCCTGGAAGAGGGGCAACCGGGACAGAATCTGGCACCCGGACTAGAACCCGGTGTGCCAGCGCCGCTAGGTGGAAGATTAGCCTGTTTAGCCACAGCGCCGGCCTTTTTTGTTTGTTTGTTTGTTTGTTTGACAGGCAGAGTGGATAGTGAGAGAGAGACAGAGAGAAAGGGTGCTTCATGACTATTAAAATTGATTAGATCCTGCCTTTTACCCAAGATTTCCTAAAAAACAAACAAACAAAAAAAAACACCAGGCAGATTGAAAATAAAACTAACACCCATATTAAGGCCATGGCCTCCTCCCACACAAGTGCCATCTCAGAACAGTGTTCCATCCCCATTGTATAATGCTTTGCACAAATAGCAGCAAAGGGTTCACACAAAATCAGCCACAGAAATACAAGCACTGCCTCTCTGGAAGAGAACCAATCAGGGATGGGCCAGTTCATTGTCAGATGGTTTGATGGGTACCCTTGTGGTGATAGCCAGTGCTCTAATGTGTCCAGGAGTACTTCTTGGATCTGCAGTCAGATTATCTGAGTGGAAATCCAGGCCCCAACTCTCAGAAGTTGTGGGCCCCTACATCAATCCCTTGACAATTAGAAGATGCTGTTTCTCCCTGTGAAAAATGTGTTTATCACCCAAGCACAATAAGTTTATGATGAGGATTAAATGAGCAACTGTACATGGAGTGTGTAGAATAATAGTTGCAAACCACAAAACTCCATACTGGGGGGTATTTCAGCTCTTTCTGGGCCAGAGCATGCCTCTTTGTAACTTTCTGCTCAGTGCTAATTGCTACCTCTGGCTCAACAGAGGATAGCTCTTCCTTCTGTTCTATGTATCATGTCTTAAAATGTTTGAAAATGACAGTAAGCTTAGATTTTTTTACTCCTCAATTTTCCTTTCTACGTCCATCCCAACACAACACTCTCAGCTGCCAATCAAAATACCAAAGACATTCTTCTCAGATCTGGAAAAAATGATGCTGAAATTCATATGGAGAAACAAGAGACCTCGAATAGCTAAAGCAATCTTATACTACAAAAACAAAGCCTGAGGCATCACAATACCAGATTTCAGGACATACTACAGAGCAGTTGTAATCAAAACAGCATGGTACTGGTACAGAAACAGATGGATATACCAATGGAACAGAATTGAAACACCAGAATTCAATGCAAACATCTACAGCCAACATATTTGATCAAGGATCCAAAACCAATTCCTGGAGTAAGGACAGTCTATTCAATAAATGGCACTGGAAAAATTGGATTTCCATGTGCAGAAGCATGAAGCAAGACTCCTACCTTTCACCTTGCACAAAAATCCACTCAACATGGATTAAAGATCTAAACTATGACCCAACACCATCAAATTATTAGAGAACATTGGAGAAACCCTGATAGATATAGGTACCAGCAAAGACTTCTTGGAAAATACCCCAGAAGCACAGGCAGTCAAAGCCAAAATTAACATTTGGGATTGCATCAAATTGAGAAGTTTCTGTACTGAAAAAGAAACAGGAAAGTGAAGAGGCAACCAACAGAATGGGAAAAAAATATTTGCAAACTATGCAACTGATGAAGGGTTAATAACCAGAATCTACAAAGAGATAAAGAAACTCCACAACATCAAAACAAACATCCCACTTAAGAGATGGGCCAAGGACCTCAATAGACACTGTTCAAAAGAAGAAATCCAAATGGCCAACAGACACATGAAAAATGTTCAAGATCACTAGCGATCAGGGAAATGCAAATCAAAACCACAAGGAATTTTCATCTCACCCCGGTTAGAAAGGCTCACATTCGGAAATCTACCAACAACAGATGCTGGCAAGGATGTGGGGGAAAAGGGACACTAACCCACTGTTGGTGGGAATTAATACTGGTTAAGCCACTATGGAAGTCAGTCTGGAGATTCCTCAGAAACTTGAATATAACCCTACCATTCAACCCAGCCATCCCACTCCTTGGAATTTACCCAAAGGAAATTAAATTGGCAAACCAAAAAGATGTCTGCACCTTAATGTTTATTGCAGCTCAATTCACAATAGCTAAGACCTGGAATCAACCCAAATGCCCATCAACAGTAGACTGGATAAAGAAATTATGGAACATGTACTCTATAGAACACTGTACAGCCATCAAAAACAATGAAATCCAGTCATTTGCAACAAAATGGAGGAATCTGGAAAACATCATGCTGAGTGAATTAAGCCAGTCCCAAAGGGACAAATATCATATGTTCTCCCTGATCAGTGACAACTAACCAAGTACCAAAGGGGAAACCTATTAGAGTGAAATGGACACTATGAGGAACAGTGACTTGATCAGCCCTTGTCCCGACTGTTGACATACAATATAATACTTTATCCCTTTTAGTATTTCTTTGTTCTACTTAATACCATTGGTTGAACTCTGTAATTAACACACAATTATTATTAGGTGTTTAAATTTAACTGAAAAGTGATCTCTGTTAAATATGAGTGGGAATAAGAGAGGGAAGAGATGTACAATTTGGGACATGCTCAATCTGACTTTCCCCAAAATGTGGAGTTAGAAATGTGCCAGGGGATTCCAATTCAATCCCATCAAGGTGGCATGTACCAATGCCACCTCACTAGTCCAAGTGATCAATTTCAGTTCACAATTGATCATAATGATAGGTCTAAGAGTCAAAGGGATCACACAAACAAGACTAGTGTCTGCTAATACTAACTAATAGAATAAAAAAGGGAGAGAACGATCCAACATGGGAAGCGGGATACACAGCAGACTCATAGAATGGCAGATGTCCTAAAGAGCACTCTGGCCATGGAATCAGCCCTTAAGACATTCATATCTGGCTGAAGAGCCCATGAGAGTATTTTAGGCATGAAAAGCCAAGACACTCTGGCAAAAACAAAACAAAACAAAACAAACAAACAAACCCTACCTAAATGAAAGATCTCTGTGAGTGAGATCCCAGTAGAAAGAGCAGGTCATCAAAGAAGGAGGTACCTTTCTCTGAAGGGAGGAGAGAACTTCCACTTTGACTATGACCTTGTCAAAATGAGATCGAAGTCGGCGAACTCAAAAGGCTTTCATAGCCTTGGCAACTCATGACTAGAGCCTAGGGAGATTACTGATGCCATAAACAAGAGTGTCAATTTGTTAAGTCAACAACAGGAGTCACTGTGCATTTACTCCCCATGTAAGATCTCTGTCCTTAATGTGTTGTACTATGTGAATTAATGCTATAACTAGTACTCAAACAGTATTGTACACTTTATGTTCTGTGTGGGTGCAAACTGATGAAATCTTTACCTAATATATACTAAATCCATCTTCTGTATATAAAGCTAATTGAAAATGAATCTTGATGTAAATGGAATGGGAGAGGGAATGGGAGATGGTAGGGTTGCGAATGGGCGGGAAGTTATGGGGGAAGCCATTGTAATCCATAAACTGTACTTTGGAAATTTAAATTTACTAAATAAAAGTTAAAAAATTAAAGTTTAAAAAAAGTTTCAAAAATTATTTTCATGCATCAAGATTTTTAAGGAACTATATAGTTATCTGGTGACCAAATGAAGACATGGGTTGATGTGTCATGTGTGAGGTAGACAAGGATAGTGTCTGTGATGGAATGATTGGAATACGCTCTCCCTGGTGCTGGATACTCTATTGTTCTCTTCACCATTGCTCTGCTAGGTGTATGTCATCTTCCTCCCTGTACTAATGAGGAAGGTAAGGCTCAGAGCTGTTGCCTACCCAAGGACACTTCTGGTAAGTTCAGACTTTTACAGGAGAGAAAGAGTCTTGGGACTTTTTGTGCAGAGCTCTTGTGTTTCCCATACTCATGAGCTTGATCAAAAACAGCTACAGCAACCTGGCCTTCTGAGTATCTTGACATCTAACTTATCAATGAAATTCTTATCAGATTTGCTTTCTAGCTCAGACCTTCTTCCTGGCAAGGCTAATCAAATGCTAGAGATTGCAAGAGGGGCCCCTTTGTTCTCTCTACATTTTATTCATTCCTTCTCTGACTCCTTTCAAGAGGAAAGCACAGAAATCTAACATAATTTAAATATTCTATAAAATTAGGGCTAAGTCTATAAAGCATGGTGTTTCCCAGTTGCAAAGAAAAAGCAGCTTATGAGGGAACTTTTCCTAGTTAAAAGATGAAAACTCCATTATGAATAAAGTCCCTCATTTATTGAAGTAATAAATTAATAAGCCAAAGTAACATGCCTATTCATAGATAAAACTTCAAAATACATAGGACAAGAGCATAATTAAAAGATGACTTATTTCTTTCTTCCTTCCTTCCTTCCTTCCTTCCTTCCTTCCTTCCTTCCTTCCTTTCTTTCTTTCTTTCTTTCTTTTTTTTGGACAGGCAGAGTTAGACAGTGAGAAAGAGAGAGAGAGAGAGAGACAAAGGTCTTCCTTCCATTGGTTCACCCCCCAAATGACCACTCCCTGGTCTCCCAAGCGGGTGCAGGGCCCAAACACTTGGGCCATCCTCCACTGCCTTCCCAGGCCACAGCAGAGAGCTGGACTGGAAGAGGAATGACCAGGACTAGAACCCGGTGCCCAAATGGGATGCTGGCACCACAGGTGGACGATTAACCAAGTTTGCCATGCACCAGCCCAAAAGATGATTTCATATAGCCCTTGCCAAAAAGTGACTCTAAAACCATGGGTAAACTAACTATTAATTGACTAAATAAAAGCAGTGCACCAGGGAAGAGAATGTCATATTTTTACTGATTCATGGACAATGATAGATGGCTACATGGAAGCCTATTTAAAAGGAAAAAATAGAAAATTCATGGACAAAAATTATGAAAATGATGATAAAATACATGGGGCAGTGCTTAAAATAGTATTATCTCAGTTTTTCATGTATATGCCCATGCTGCTATGAATTTGCCTGAACATGAGTACAATGCGCAAATTGACAGATGGGCTAAAATCACATCAAATATGGCCAAACAACCAGAATAATATTTCCTGGAAAAATGGGCTCATCATTTTTCAGGTCACCTTGGAGTCCAAGCTATGCCAAGGTGGGCCTTTGCCATAGAATTGTTACTTTACCTATCTCTTTCAAAGCAAGTTAAAAATGTAAAATATTTCAAAGTGATTTGTAAATATCCCATTCAAAAGAAGACCCTGCAAAGGAATATCTAAAGCCCCAAATGTCACCACAAGCTAGGAATTTATTCTACCAATATTAAATTAAGCCAAAAGTTTGGATAAAGAGGCATGATGAAAATAATCTTAAGGCCACTGAAGTAGTTACTGTAAATAAAATGAATGAATGAATTAATTAATTAAATTGTAATAGTCCCTTATTCAGGTCAAGATAAAATATTGCCTACTGCTCAATTATTTTTTAAAAGCTTTATTTTATTTGAGATGTAGAGGTACAGACAGTGAGAGGGAGAGACAGGAGAGTAAGGTCTTCTTTCCATTTGTTCACTCCCAAAATGTCAGAGCCATGCTGATCTGAAGCCAGCAGCCAGGCACATCTTCCCCATCTCCCACATGGGTTCAGGGGCTCATGGTCTTGGGCCATATTCTATTGCTTTCCCAGGCCTTAGCAGAGAGCTGGATTGGAAGTGGAGCAGCTGGGGCTAGAACCAGTGTCCATATGGGATGCTGGCACCACGGCTGGAGGATTAACCTACTGCACCTCTGTGCCAGCCCCAACTACTGCTCAATTCTTTACTCATGAATAGAAAGTATTTTTGCAGGACTTCTCTTTATGAGTTAGAATTTTGATTTGCAGATATGGACAATGAAAATTCTCTTCATTTCCTGTCATAATATGAGATGTTTTCAGGATGAATTGGCTCTTCCAGGACCAGACAAAAGAAACTTAATTGCAATGATCACTAAATTTGTTATGTTTTAAATATGGCCCTGAAAAAAAGTAACATTAACTAGGAGAAAAGTTCTTCATGCATCTATGAAACATGTTTTATGGCTGAAGAAAATATTACTGTAACTGTAGAGTCTCAATGTTGCAGTGGATTTGTTTCTGAGAGGAGCAGCATGGTGGGGGCAAGAGGCGTGGAGTCACCACACAGACCCCGGGAGTCGGGTGAAAGCAGGCTTGAGGCGAGCAGCTGGCAGACTCATTTATTTCAGTTGGTACAACAGCTTATATAGCCAAGACCAGCCAATCTGGTCAAGGGGCGGTCTATGCCCCAACCAATCACAGCCTGTTGCCAGGCAGTTTCCAAAGCCAGGTGGGTTTCAAAGCCATTCCTGAGTAACTGACATTCACTTGCCAGTGGCCACCTTGGCATGGCCTTCTCATTCCACCACATATCAATACCATCTGCTGCAATTATACTTCACAGATTGGTTTTTTCAAATACACCTTGAAAAGCAGATATTACCTTTAAACAACAATGTCAAATAGTTCCAACAATGTTTAATTTTATTTTTGTATATTATAATTCTCAGTTGTCATTTTGCTTTGAAACATGTTCTTTTATAAGATGGGCAGATCACATTAAATTATGCTTCCCCTAAAATACAGGAGCATTCTATTATTCAGATCCCCAAATCATATGTAAATACAATTCAAAATGTACAAAAATAGATTTGAAGCATGTATAAATAGCCACTATGACATTGCCTAAAATTTTCTAAAATCTTGTAATGAAAAACAAAAGAACTAGTACAATACTTTTTTGGTGGAGCAAAAACAGATTTATGTATAGTTAATTCTGTAAAGTTTGAAAGCCAGGCCAATAGGCTGTGCAGTGTTGGACAGGATGTTACTCAAGTTTTGGTAGTTAGTGCCCAATAGTTGCCCATGATGATTATTCTCCACTAAAGTAACCTTAACATTGAAAAAGACTTTCTAACTATTTGTCCATCCCATAATAGCCAATCTGGAAATAACTACTAATTTTACTAAAGTTTCTCAATTTTATGATGTGTTCCCTACTAAATATGCCTATGTTAATTCACAATAAAGTGCATAATACCTGTTAACCACCAGGACAGGTGTTAAATGAAAAAAAATATTTTTCTAATATATACCTGCAGAGGATTTGTTAACTTTAGATAATAAACAGGAAAATTATATTGGATTTTTTTTGTATAGGGACCATATAACATTGCTGTGTATACTCAACCCAAGTACTGTGTCAATTTCATGTTATTTCTTTTATATTACTTCAATATTTTCACTTTACCCCACATAATTGGAACATATACGGGCCCTGATAATCTTAACAACTATCTCAGTGTACAGCAATCTGATCATGGATTGACATGTGAATGACATAGTAGACAAATTACAACATACTTATTAATGCATTCTTCTAATCTATGTGTTTTACATTGTATCCTAATACTAACTTTTCTGTGCTATATAAAATATCTCCTCAATAGTTTTTTATAAGTAATAACAAAAGAAAGCAAAGGATCAAGGTAAAGTAGCTCCTTTTGTTGGGTGTCTGCTGCACCTTGAAATTCTCCACTGGCAAGAATCTTTTTATACCTCCCCTGATTAGGTAGATGGTGTCATTTCCTAAATCCTCACCCCTTTGTAATATTTAATGTTTCATTATGATCCCTTGCAAATATATTATGGAATGCTTCCCTGGTATCTGCCTTCAGCTAATAGCAATTAAATTAATTATAAGTTAGAACTCACATAATTGCCAAAAAACTAAGATATTTCACCCTTAGTTATTAATGACAATAATTCTCATTGGTATGATTTCCTTTTTTAAATCACCTACTGAAAAAAAATTTCTTTTCAATCTTTAATTCTTTAATTCTTTTTGTTAAACTTGTTATTTTTGTAATGTTTATCCATACACCAAAATGAATATATATATATATATATATATATGCATCCAACTGCAGCACCAGCATCCCATACGGCTGCTGGTTCAAGTCTTGGGTGCTCCTCTTTCAATCCAGCTCTCTGCTTATGGCCTGGGAAGACAGTAGAGGATGGCTCAAGCACTTCAGCCCATGCACCCATGTGGGAGACCCAAAAGAAGCACCTGGCTCCTAGCTTCAGATTGGCCCTGCTCCATCCATTGTAGCCATTTGGGGAATGAACCAGTGGATAAAAGACATTTCTCTCTTTCCCTCTCTCTGTCTATAACTCTGCTACTTAAATAAACAAATAAAATTTTAAAATGTTTAGCTCAAAGTTATGTCTGGCCTATGCAATGAACCTCTCTGATCTTAAAGGTTAGTGGAGGGTTAATATTAAATTAAGGATCTTGGGTGGTGCTGTGTTGTAGTGGGTAAAAGCCACCACCTCCAGTGTCAGCATCCCATATGGGCACTGGTTGCAGTCCTGGGGCTGCTGCATTTCCAATCCTGCTCTCTGCTTTTTTTTTTTTTTTGACAGGCAGAGTGGTTAAGGTCAGGTAAGGAATTACATAAGGATATAAAAGTAAGAATTAAAACAAATGAAGGTGGGGTGGAACTGATTGCTTTCCAAATGCTACATGTGTTGCCCATGATGCTTTATTCCAGTGCTGTGGTTGTATCTAATGGATGAGAGTCTTTGTAAATAAATCTTATCTTTCCACTTTCATGGGTACATGGATGTTTGTTCATGAATCAAGCCTCTAATATTGAAGTCTGTGCACAACTCTTGGCCAGATCACTATCTGGTCAAAACAAGCAGAGAGGCTGGTGCCACGGCTCAATAGGCTAATCCTCTGCCTTGCGGCACCAGCACACCGGGTTCTAGTCCCTGTCGGGGCTCTGGATTTTGTCCCGGTTGCCCCTCTTTCAGGCCAGCTCTCTGCTGTGGCCAGGGAGTGCAGTGGAGGATGGCCCAAGTGCTTGGGCCCTGCACCCCATGGGAGATCAGAAGCACCTGGCTCCTGCCTTCAGATCAGTGAAGTGCGCCAGCCATGGCAGCCATTGGAGGGTGAATCAACGGCAAAGGAAGACCTTTCTCTCTGTCTCTCTCTCTCACTGTCCACTCTGCCTGTCAAAAAGAAAAGAAAAGAAAAAAAATATCAGAAATGAAGATTCTGGAGATAGTACACAGAAGAGACTTGATAGGAGAAGAGTTAGCATGGGTACTTAGGGAAATGTCTAGGACACAGAAGACACACAAAAGTGATGGCACTGGAAGATGCCTGCTGGATTTAAAGCAAAGAATTGTCATAAAAATTTAAGTGGGCCAGGGCCCAATTTGCTAGGCACAAGACCCCTGGTGATGTCATGGTTAGCCACAAGCCTGTGGTTAGAGCCAGAAGTCCAATAATAGCCCTACTCACAGCCTTGGCATAAAATGTCAACATCATCTGGTCTTAGAAAAAAGTCTTTATTTTTTCCAAGAATTTTTTTTTCAAAATTCATTTATTTGGGGTGGTGGTGCATGGAGACAGAGACACTTGGAGAGGCTTCCACCAGCTTGCTTAATCTCCAAGTGTACACATTGGCTGAAGCTGTGTTTGGGTCTGGCTG